TATATATACATATAAAGGAAATTTTCTCAAAGAATTTGCATAACATCAAATGACGTGCATTTTGGTGTAAAACATTAATGACAAAAGATAATAAGAAAAGGCATGCCTCTAGATGTACGAGATATTATAGCGTTATAGTTCAAACGAAAGGGTTCGACATTTCGTGCAAAATTTATATATCTAATATTAAAATTGCCATTTTTAAAATCTCTTAATTAAAGTTTAATTTGCAATTTAATTTTCACATTAATATTAATCTTAATTTGTAAAACATTTATATAAGTTTTATCTATTTAAAATCCTAAAACAATCGACTATCGAAATAAATTTGCACATGCGCATAATTCAAAGCTTACTGATCGTAATAACTAATACCCATTCGTTTGTAGCACTATGTCCCCGTACTTTTATAAGATAAAACGAGTTGTAAATATTGTTTTTATGAGGCACCATATAAGAATGACGTTATCGTAATTAACGTCTTTAACATTGCGACTGTTAAAGCGATAGACTGAATCTATCTTTCAGTTTAATGTTGATTGAATAATAATTTGGTCGATTCCAGATTCGAAATTTGTTCCTAACTTCAGTCATAAAATTCATTAAATTCAATTTATCAGTAAACATATAATCCATAATCATAGTACAGTGCAACGACTTATAAAGATAACAATAATATAAAATGACATATAATTTCAATAAATTCTATGAAATTAACGATATAAAAGTGAAGTATATAGATATACACCTCTTTTCTTTTGGGGTTTCGTTAAACGATTCATCGCATCTAGCAATTATATGTTCTATTATTTTCTTCGATGTCGCACAAAGTTCACATACTTTTTAATGATCACGATTCAATTTCTTATGCATTTTCTTTTTTTATCTCTTTTTCAAACATATGTCTAGGCACAATCACTTTCGCAACATTTCACTAGATTTTTTCTCAAAAATTCTCGTTCTTAATTCATTTTTTTTTTTTTTTTGTTTTTGGTTTGACATGAAAAAGATTTGCGTATCATATTGAACGCTGTAGTTGTGATTTATCTATCGAAACCGTATCGAAAAATCTGCAAACCATCAACAAGTCTTTTTGTCATTACAACCACTCGTTTACACTGTTGTCATTCTATTTGTTCAGAAAATTGTAATTGCTAAGTTCTGCGAAACTAAGAACGTTTCGATCTTACGATTAGATATTCATTCGTGAAGATAACCTTACATACGACGTTCGTATTACGAACATACTGAATTGAATCAGGCCGCGCTAAGAAACGTTCGCAATTGACTTCATTCTATTCACTATTCAAATACAATCAACAAGTGATTTTCATTCAATCATTGAATTAGGCATGATTGCACGATACATTATTCTCAAAATTCTCCGTGACACTCAAACCAATAGTGGTTGCGTTCATTGCTCGACGTAAACTGTTCCGCAAGAAAGCCGCGCAGGCCTTGCTCCTCTCCGTGATGATCTCGTACAGTTGATTTTCCAATGTGAGGCTGTTGGTGGTGAGCAGTAGCGGCAGTGGAATTGACGCGTTCATGATCACTAAATTACCAATATTAAGAGGAGCTGTTTCCCATTGTCAGACACCGCTGTTCGGAAAGCGTGGCGGGGGAAGCGGGGGCGGTGATCTCTCCGGTTGAGCGGGTGCGTCGGAAGATCGCTCTGATCCAGCTGCAAACACAACTGTTCATCTAGATTAATCAGATGCACATTTTCAATGTGTATTTTCAATACTTGTACACTACTCTTCGCATTCATCTACTTAAACCGTTTCAATTTAGATAGACGACAAATAGCACAAGCTTCTACGATTCTTGTAGAAAAATTGTTAAAAAAAATTGAACTGTTTTTTTAATAATGTGATTTTAATTTTTGAGATTAATCGAGATTTTCGATTTATATCAAGATCAAGATTGAATAATTGCACTATTAAAATTTTAATTTTATCACTATATTTTTTTCTAATTGTGAATAGAATATTATTTTATTCACAATTATTTTAAAATGATTTTGATGTATTGGTATATGAATATATTTATATAAAGATTGTAAAAAATTATTTGATTTATGATAAATAGTGTTAAATATAAATAAATAGTGTCTGTTTAAAATATGACGAATGTATAAATCTATATTTGAAAATCTATATTTTATAAAAATTTTTGTTTTACATAATATGTATATTTTTTTATTTTGAAATTTAAAATGTAGAAATTTCCTTTTTTTATTACTTAATATTATATTTAAATTATATAAATACTATTAGTTTCATATTAAAAAGTTAAATTAATCATCAGCATCCTGAAAATATCATAAAAAGATTTGAAAAATGATAAAATATAATTTTATTCTTAATTTAGTCTTAATTTAGTCAGTTATCAGTTAAATCTGAAAGTATTGTCAAATAATATTAAAAAAAACATATATATATATATATAAAACTTTTAAATATTATAATTACAAGCATTGTGTGATGCGTTTATAAATAATTATTTTGTTTGTAATAAATATATAATGTATAAATATAATAATATTTTTTTAAAATATTATTTGTATCTATCTAATGATTATGAAAGACTTATACATAACTCTAAGAATCTCTAGCATAGATATATGCAAGTTATTATTTATTCTGGTTAAATTGTTTAATAAATAGAATTGATTTCTATGATATCTTATTTTTTAGCATTTCATCAAGTAAAAAATAAACTTAAGAATGGCAACATTTTGAAATAAAAAATGCACAAGATTGATATTTACTATTCATAACTTCTTTTTTTTTGTTTTTTAATCTAAATGAAATAAATTACATTCATGCGGACATGCCCATTACACCATTCATGCTTCAATTGCCATAGTATTGAAAAAATTGGTTTTGCAGCTTTATATAAAAAATAATGATAATGTAATATTATTTGTTTTTAAATCTTGTAAGTTTAACATTCATATGACTCCTTACTCTTTCATGTTTTTACATTTCTTAAATCGATGGAGACCATATGTGTTAATGTAAGATCCTCAATGGCCTACCTCCATATAAACTACTACAAAGGCCAGTGTTAATAGCGCATAATACATGTATACTCTTAGAATGGAAATAGAAATGAAGCCAATATATCTACTAGTTTTATTTATAAGAATTATAGGAATATATTAAAATTGACTAGAATCAGATTGTATATAGGATAACAGATTATCATACTGCACACAGATGACAGAAGAGAGACATGTAATATATATATATATATATATATATACAGAGTTCCCATATAACTAAACTAGCTATATTATCAAAATTATTAAAGACAGAAAAAAATATAAGAGAATAAAATCAAATGATAGTATATGTATATGATTCTATATATCTACTATCTACTTATTCATTCTTGTTAACATTAATACATTTGTAAAATATAGTTTTTATTAGAATACCTATTCTGTTTAATTTTTTCATTCAATTGATATATATATTTTGGAATTCAATTTGCTTCATTTGATGCTTTATAATGCTTCATTTAAGAAATTTGTGAAGTGATGTTTAAAAATCAATGAAAAAAAATAATAAAATTTCAATAGTACTATATATTTAACCAGGCATATCAATTCAAGATTGAAAATTTCTATTTTAAACTATTCAACAATATTTTTGATTTTTAAAAAGTGACTTATTAATTTTTTTATACAATTCAAAATATGAGAGCAGCTTCAATGAAAAAATGAAAAATTAATTATTTCTAGAATATTCTGGTACATAATGTTAAAATAGTAGAATTACTTAAAATGAAAAATATTTGAATCGTTTGAATCAATAAAAATCAACATGTATTTGATTATTCTTAGATTTTTTTTTAAATTTTAAAATATTTAAATTGCTTAAAAAATTATATTGTGACAGAAACAACGAAAATGAAAAGTAAGTGACGTGATAAATTTGAATGAAAAATATAAAAAATATATAAAAAATATATAATATATATAAAAAATATAAAAATATAAAATGCTTTGTATGTATATTGTATGTATATATTTAAAGAAAAGATTATTTTATTGTGGAAATGCATAAAAACTGATATTGATATATAGAATATGTAACAGATATTTAATTTTGTTCTCTGATAATTTTTTCTCTCTTTAATACTTTATAATTTATACTTTATAATTTATACTTTATACTTTATAATCCAGTAGTATGGAACACTCTGTATAATATGTATAAATTATAGAGCTTATAATATTGAGAATTTCTTGAATTAAGATAAAAAAATTATAGAAAAGTATATCTATTCCTATTCATCTTTCTTAATATTTCTTAATATTTATAATACTTATTTATAAATCATTCACATCATGAATTTAGTCAAGTTTATAAGCTCTATAAATGAAAATATTTCAACTATTCAATTTTTAATTGAGTTTAAATGGTGTGAGTGTTTGGCTGAAGCAGTGAGAGTCATGAAAAGCTAAAATAGAACTATGATCAATGAAATGCAAATAGTTATGTAAAATAAAAATGAGTTTGAGATAATTAAAATTTAATAATGATTTTTCCTGGAAAAAGAGGGCATCGTATAATAATAAATTGAATTTCAAACAAATTTTTTTACAAGATACATTGCTATGATTTGTATGAATAAATTCCTAATGAATTCTTTAAAATAATAAAAGATGAATAATTAGAAACGAACAATTGGAAAATGGACATTTACAAAAAATATTGATGTAATTAAATTTTAACTTCTAACATCTTATATATATATATATATATATATATATATATATATATAATACATTTATAATCAATGATATATGATTAAAATAATCTTTTATCATTTACAGAATTATATTCGATTGCACCCCTCTCTAATTTTTGCTATTGTCAACATAAAAATATAGGTAGTGATATTGTTCTCTGCTAGGACCACTTGTATATCTTGTAGTAGCGAAGCAGCAATGTAATTTTGATTTCATATAATCAGCACTTTGATTCCTCTGCACTTTTGAATCATACTGAAAGCAGAAAAATAATAGTCGCAAATAAATTTGAAACGAATGTATCACAATGAAACTACAAATAAATAAAAATTACGAACATACATAGATGGCATTATGTCATGCACAATGACAGGTAGATGGAATAAGCGACAAGTGACAAACAATTCTTTGAAAATTAATAATTTATTTAAATAAATTAATTCCATATAATGATTTTTATTAAATTAATAAAACATATATAACAATAAGATTTTTATTGTGATTTATATAAATCAATTATTGAAGAAAAAAAAAATAAATAAAAGATAAAAAAATTTAAAGAATTGTTTGTCGTATAAAGACGGAAATGGCTATATGATGATGTTTGTGGACGATTTTGGTCAGGTTTTTAAGCCTTACATGAATCAGGATGTGGCTTCTCCTCGGCCACCATCAGGGCTGCACTCTCTGCTGGCGGTATGTGTCCCTCTAATGCATTCACACAGTTTAGCATGCTCCTGCAAAACATCACGCGACTTGTCCAAGTTTCCGCTTCTTGATACATGTCTATTGAATCTTTCCTTCCCTTATTATATTCCACATCTTCGTCGAGGGCATCGATTTAACATGCACCGACATCGCAGGACCATGGGAAAACAGTATCGCGGCTTATCAACTTAAGTATTCGTCAACGTAAGTTACATATCCGTTTTTTATTTTTTATTCTATCCTAATTGACCTGGATTTAAAAATTTTGGATTTGTGATGTATTCCGGTTTATAAGCTACTACTATTATAACACGATTACTTGTATTTCGTTTTGTTCTGTGGCACGTTATAACAATAACAAAAGCTACCATTAGTCGAACTTTAATTTTGCCTATTTTTGTTCACACTTCGCTTACAGCTAAAATAAAAATAACTTTCGTTACTTGGATTTATTCCGATTTGCATTTTTTTTCTTTCTTTCTTTTTTTTTTTCTGTCTCGTCTCAAGAAATGATAATTCATTTCACAGTTTCTAGCCTTGTAGGATTTCAGTGGTTCACTGGCCTGTGTAGTAGACTTCAAACATATGTATGTATCGCTTATCGCTTGCATAATTATCGAATTTCAACTACTTTGACTATTTTGCTTTCTTATTGAACAAGATAATTCGCGGGATCGCGGTTAACCATAAAAAACGAAAGGTGAATGTACACGCTGTGCGGAGATATTTCGATCTCTTCTCAGCGTGACTGAATATTTCTTAATTAACTTTTCCTGCAAGGTGAATGAAAATTAGGTCCAAAAAGCTTGACCAAAGTTAAAAAAAAAAAAAAAAAAAAGAAAAGAAAAAAAAACTCCACCTCGAGGTTGTCCATGTATGTAGTGAAGAAGAAAACTAAAACCAGTAATTAAATAAACAAACAGATTTATTTTACAACATAGAATATATGTGTGTATATATATATATATATTGTATGTATATGTATACGATCTTATCGGTGATGCCGAAATATTCGTTCATTAATATAATATATACTAGTAACGAATGTTTCCAAAAAGTATTTTTTTTTCTTTTTTTTTTCCTCTTTTTTTTTTTTTTATATCTTTTAGTCTTTAAACTTGTGTGTATTCAATGATATAATGATATCTTATAGCAGTTTGTGTGCTACGAGTATGCTAAATCGTTGCCGATAACAATTATTCCATTAGATTGACCGGAGATACGAGAATCTATAGTGGTCTTCGATATTCGATTAAAATCGTTCTTAATTATCAGTATTTTTTTTGTTTTTTTTTATTCGTTTATTTATTTATTTATTATTTATATATTTTTTTTTATGGTTTGTCAGTAGCATGGGTATGGTTGGCAGTGGTGGCGTCAGATAGGACGGTCTCCTTGCTAGAGTTAGTGGCGAGCTCCTCTTCCCTGCAATATAATAATGTTACATGGCCAACGAGCCTCGAATCGTTTTTGTGTTTCGATTTTGAGAGAGAAAATCGTAGTTTCGCGCCGTTACGTACAAGGAAACTTTTCATTATAAGAACGTATCAAGAAAATAAAAAAAGGGAAATCGTTGGAGATTCCCAAATACCGTAATTATCGTGGAACATCCGTTTCGAGATGATTTATCAAGCTTCTGTTAATAATAATCTGGTCGGCTGTGTCATCTGACGATAATATTTGATTAAAAGTGACCCATTTTATTTATCGTGGATATAAATTGTCGTTATCTATCTTCAACGTGAAAATGAAATGATAAAATTTTCCGGCAGAGATGTTTTAAAGAAAAAAAGAATTTTGTATTTCGATTACAGTCAAGTAATTCCTAATGTTATTAAAACCAATCTCGTTTGAAACATTAGAGATTGGTTTTTTTCTCAATAGGAATCATCTATTTGTATTTATTTATTTATTCTTTTTTGTTACGTATTAGATATACAACTTGCTCGAAACTTTGTAATTGTAATTGTTAAAATGTTAATGCATATGAATATATTGATACAAGCTGTAAAAAAGATATACATATTTTTTTTACGTATGAAATTTATTCACGTGATGCCTTATATCGTTCATCATGATTTACCTAAATAGTTTATAAATATAAATAGATATGTATATATGTATATGTATAATAATAATGATCACATAAATGCGTTTACTGACACAATAAAAGTCAAACATACACAATCATAAATTGATAAGTAGCACTCATTCGATCATAAAAGACAAGAAGAAAATGGCTTTTTATACTAATTCTATGTCGTTTATCAACTAGCGTACGGTTGTTATGTAAACGAACAAATTTAATAAAATTCCACTAAATCATAAGCAACCACAGACTGACTATCGAGTATTAGAGTTCATTCATATGTATATGTATATAAAAGCTGTTAACGATTCATCGAATGTTTCGGCAAAACCTTTCTTCAGCGTAATTTATAATAAAAAAAAAAAAAAAAAAAAACAAAGAGGATGAATGTGAAGAAAAAAAAAACAGAAAGAAGAAAGAAGAAAAGAAGAAAAGAAAATATAATTGCGTAGCTTGCGAGTTTATCAAGAGCTGCACTGATCAAACAAGGGAACGTGAACGTAAAATTGCTTTCACGCTTCACGTTAACATTTCCCTTCTTTTTTTGTCTCGTATTAATTTTCAATTACTTTCTTTTTTTTTTTATGTTTTGCGCGAACGATGGTATAATAGATTATGCAAAGCGGCTCTGCGTTTGCCTATCGAAGTAAAAATGTATCTATATATATATATATATATATATCATATTTGTATATAACTCAGAAATCATTTGTACGCCAAACAGTAATGTAAGCACTAACATGCAATCGCACAGTACAGCGCCATAAACTCGTGCCAACTATCGACATGAAAATTATTCCAAGACTGATCTGTCGTCGAACATTTATCGGGTATTGGTAGACTAAAAAGGAGCATGCTGTAAAATACAAGGCTCCAAGAAGGGAATCAAGTAAGTAGTCGGGGCTGTTATGTATAGCAAAACCTTGTTAACAATTAATCAGGTTGTATTGCACTTTGTTTTTTTTTTTTTTTTTGTTTAATCTTTCTATTGCGGCGAGATGCGAAATTAAAAGCGAAATTATATTATATTAATCACATAATAGCCCTGAAGAACTATTAGAAACTGTGAAATGTATCTTCGCAAAAGAAAAACCAAAAAAAAAAAAAAAAAAAATTACAATTTGTCGTAAATGAGATTTATTCATGCAATCTATATATTCTTCTCGTCTTTACGATTAATATAATAGCCTGACTGGTAGCGCATGAGATGGAAACTCACATGAGCTGATAGTAGTAAGTAAAGATGTTTCAACATGCCAGGCTGTTAGACCGAAGTTAATGATGGTCACTTAAAAATAGGCAGGGGCAGGATTATTTTTCGCTTGCAGAAGCAATGATCGAGGGTAAATTGAGCTCGAATTTGATACACATCAAAATCTCACCTTTGTGGAAAATGGGAAAAAAAAATATTATAACAAATATAATATAGATAATAGATAATATATAATTATGCGGCTAGATTTATAAATGGTTTGGCGGGAGAAGAAGAAGAAGAATAATAATGGATGTATGATTTGCTAAAAAATAATCCTTTCTTTAAAGACGACTAGTGGTGTCTTTGGTAATTTGATTGTCATGCAGTTAAATAATCTTTAGAAATTCATATAGTATATTGTAACAAAGCCACCACAGTAACAGGAAATTTATTATGTGACTCACCCATAAAGTCTGCTGTCCCGCAAGCTGCTCCTGCTCCAAATAACATAGAAAGCACAATTACGATATGTAGAACATAATTTTCATTGTGTGAAAAAAAAAAAAAAAAAAAAAAAAAAAAAAAAAAAAAAACGGAAGTTTCAGAACTTAAAGAATTTACCAGAACCATTAAATAACGATTTATTGAAATAATACATATACAATATGCTAAACAAATAAATATAATAATAATATCCATTTTGGCCTTGGGAAATACGTAACAATAAAACTATAAAGCTTCAAGCTCAGCACGTTTTACAAATGAATGTCCATAATAATATACGGAAATCTCAAATAAACATGGTGAAGGTAAAACAAATCGATCGTAGTTTCGACTATATTAAAAAAATTAATCCAATTTATTTCATTGTTAATTTTATCCATTATATTATATATGTATATTTATATGCAGCAACAACAATGATAACAAAAATCATTAGATAGATCGTGTCAATCAATCAAGAACAGAAAAAGAAATTTTATCTACAAAGAAGAGAATACACGAATCTACGAAAACAATGTTGTACCTTCTGTATTATTACAAGAAAGACTTTGTTCGGTTAAATGCCGAGGTAATTTATTTTTTTTTTTTTTCGACAATACTACTATGATATGAATAATGAACTGTTACAACCATGCGACAATCACGTTTCATGAACGTTTTCATGATATTATTATACACATATATTATAATCTCAAATATTTTGTAATTGATATACTTCTCTACTTCGGTTACGATATTACGGAATTAAAAAGATCTCGTTTCATTTTTTATCTATCGAAACTTTATTACAACTGTTCCCAATTGTGAGCTTTCAGGTATTTAATCTCGAAGCAACTCGAAAAGATAATCGCTGGTTCACGATCGGTTCGTAACATGCGAAGAAATTTCAAAAATGTTTATTCTCTTGCACCGGATACAATTAACAACGTAAATACGCGTACGAGTCGATTGATTTTCTTTCGAAGATATATATATATATATATCTTGAAAAATCGAACGAACTTTTTTATCACAGTTGAATTCGTATTATAGCCTCGATTAGGCGGCAATACACACACACACATACGTGGTGTGGCATTAAATGTCCAAATTGATCGATCCCCGTTTTATCATTACAGGGTAACGCATTTGTAATTTCATGCCTCAATTACATAATGCATAGAAAGTAATATTAAAGAAATTGTACTACTGATATGCTTGATGTAATAATAATAATAATGATGATAATAATAATAATAATAATAATAATAATAGCAATAATAACGATAAAGTTGACAGTATTGTTGTGTAATTGTAGCTTGAAAGAAGCTCTTACAGATCTTTAAGTGTTCGATTTATAATGTGTGCAACATCGTGATTCGATTCGTTTCAAGATAATTTGCTGCGCTCGTTTCCCTTTTTCCCCTCTTTTTTTTTTTCTATTTTTTTTTTTTTTTTTTCCCCTCGTCAAACAAATACGTGATAACGTTATGTTCTATCTACTCGATTAATCATATTTACAATTATTTGTCTATTTTTCGCACGATGAACGTTCCTATAAATATTATATCGATTTGTTGAATAAATTAATAGGCATAGTGCATTTCCTAAGCCTTCCGGTTTTTTTCGCAAGAATTAAATTCGAGTTTTTCTTTTTTTCCTTTTTCCTTCTTTCATTTCTTTTTTTTTTTTTTTTTTTTTTTGCACTTTTTTCTTCGATTCGAATATAACAATTCAGAATTCACGCGTTTCGTGATACACTTGATGGTTCATTGTAAAATATAGACGGGCGGATGTGTGGACGGATATGATAACAATATATTATGCATCGAATATGCACAGGATGCGAAACTTAATAATTCTTTTCGCGTTTCATCATTAACAAATCGACAACACGTGTTATAAAACATGGATACAAAGTCTCTTGTTGATTGAACCTCTTTCCGCATTTAGACAACAAATCAAAACGGATAACGAAAAAACGAACAAGCTGCCTTTTTTGGATAGAGCCATTATACATACAGAATAATACGTATATACGTGTAAGAAAAATCGATGGAAATCAGCGAAAAGAAAAAGGGGGAAGGGGGAGGCTTGAGAACTGAAGATTATCTATCTAATGATTTGCTATACGTATTAGGAATGGTGTTAAGTGGCTTATTTATTGCGTACCTGTCGTTACCATGCCTGAATAAAGCTAGAATTTCTTCGAATGTTTTATTCTTGGTCTCAGGAACCTGCTTGTACGTGAAGATCCAGAAGATGGCTAGGAATGCACTGAATGGTAGGAACGTGTAGTTTTCAAGGCTAGTCTGTAACACATAAAAACATGGGGGTCAACGTATAAATATAGCAAATATCAATCTGCTCGCCCTTCTTGCTTGAAATTCTTCTCGGTGCCTCTGTTCCATAAGTATCTTTCGAGCTTTAACCTTTAACTGATACCAATGAAATGAAAATACTTTAATTCTAACTTATATAAATTTTAACCTTAATTAAAAATTATAATATATTTTTAATTATAATTTATATATATATAAAGCATTATATATAAATTGGGAAGAAATTATGAAATTATGGAACATATTGAAATATACGTATAGCATACAGTAAAATTTATATAATATCTTACCTTCATACTTGGAAAACCGATGCCAACCACAAAATTAGCTATCCAATTGACGAGGACCGCGATAGACATGGCCGCAGGTCTAGGACCTTGGGAGAACAGTTCGGCCGTGATCATCCACGGGATGGAACCAGGCCCCACGGCAAAAAATACCACGAAAAAGAGCGTCGACACGACCGACAGATAAGACATCCAGTCAATCATTTCCTGCACATAACCGAAAAACTCCTATCAGGCAGTAGAATCGTGTTCTTCTTTCCTGAGCAGCCGGAGGAGTTCTCTCTCAGGAGAAAATTAATCGTAATACCTACGAAACTCAAACAAATAGAACTGAATAATATACGGCATGCAATTCAATGTGCAGCTCAACCCTGTGTTTAAGGCGATGATGCGATTGCGACAATGCGTAAACGTGCTCTTTTATTATATATACAATAACATCCTTCTGTTTATTAAGCGTTCAAGCGATATGACTGGCCATATTGTATCTAAGGAGTAACCAGGATACGATTCTTAGAGACCTCAGATAAATTAAATTGGTCTGAGTTGGTTGTAGTTATCGCGAGGTCCAGTTGACTCTTGTGGCTCTTTTGAATGAATTACACGTGTGTGTATCATCTGGGTTACACGAACACGATTACGATTTCGTAGTACACGTTAAAATAACGTTGCGAAAAAAAGCACACTTATAACGTATATATAGAAATGAATTTATTCTCATCGTTGTAAATTGACACGAGATTAGAAGATTGTCATTGATTCAATTATGCGCAAGAAGATGACAGGTTTGAGCCGGAATATAGACTAATAAAAAAGGGAGTAAATGTCTCCTCCAGGCAGTCACGAAAGAGGTCGTTAATGAAAAAGGGAGGGGATGGGACAAGGATGGTGACAAGGTTTCAAAAAAAGCACAATTATTAAAGCCTAAGCAAATAAATAAAACTGCATGCATCTTATTTAGATACTTTGACACATCAATATCTTTCAAAGATATTCATTCTTTAATTTGAAAAATACGTATTCGTTCTTTGTAAGTAATTATATTATTCAATAAAATTATTAAAATGATATTATCTTTCTTGTTTCTTATTATTATCTCTCACCAAAAATTGACGAGTCAAAACATAGAATATTAATAATCTCTTTTTCTAAAAGATGCAAATGAAAAATAACATGCAGGAGACGGGATAGATCTTACAAGTTACATGAATAATTGGGAGAAATTAAAATGAGATGTCGAATGCATATTTATATACGTTAAGTGGTGATAATTCTCACTGTCGTCGGTGCAGTGCTGCACTCCAGCTGTGAACAAAGTGTTAGATACACCTTTCGCCAAGGTGCATGAAGTGACAAAGCACAAAGAGAGACAGCTATATACAATCCACGTTTTTTGTGGCGTAATTTAATGTCCTGAGAGATTCTTGATTTTCATCAACTTTCTACGTTCGGCAAAACAACCTTCCTTCGTGATTAATTATTTCTCTTTTACTTTTCTTAGCGAGAATCGATTATTTTCTACTCGATTACTATCACAAAATACTTTCTATTTGATTAACGAGAATAATTTAATAATAATTCTACTAAAATACTATTACTTTTTATTTTGACGTGATTATTAGAGGATCTTAAGATGATAGTTACTTGTTAGTTAATAACATCGATATTACAATACGTAGCATAGTTGAAGTAATAGAAGTCTTAAAAATTTAAACTTACCTTTATGAGAAAAGAAATTGTGATGAATATTGAAAAGATAAACATGCCACCAAGACCGTATAAGTGCAATGTACGTCTTCCTGTCCTATCCATAAGAGGGATGGATACTAACGTCATAACAACCATAATGGAACCTATGCCAATGGTTGCAAACTTGGCACTCTCCTCCGTCAAACCAGAACTAGTATACAAATTTGTCGAATAGTAAAATACCTGAAACACACGTAGAAACCAATTTTCACAATCTATTACATCACTTTTAATGGATGAATCGCGTTTCGGAATTTAAATGAGAGCAAGTTCATCGTGTCCAATTCAAACTTTCATTATAAAGTGGGCAATGTACACGGAATTTATGGACTACGCTACTTACAGCGTTAATGCCTGAAAGCTGTTGGGAAAGTTGCATAACCACACCGATGATAAGAGGTGCTCTCAAAGTTGGGCTACATATGAGCTCTGTCATCGATATTCTAGACTCGGCTTGTTGAGCTCGTTCTTCAGCTCTCATTTCTTCGATATCTTCTTCCACTTGGTTACTGGCTCTCAACCTCCTCAAAGCTTTACGGGCTTCCTCCTCCCACTGTTTAGTAATGAGCAAATATCTAGAGCAAAGCAGAAAAAAAAAAGAGAGAAGCTGTAATCCTTGGTGAAAATAGAACATATACATGCTACAAAATTTTATATATTTTACTTTCTAATGAAAAGCTTTAGTAAAGATAACTTGAAAGATATTTCTCTCGATACATTTATTATATAGGATTTGTGCTTCTACCTTGGAGATTCGGGGCAAACTGGAAGCAGCAATAACTGTAGAATGGCAGGGCAGATAGCTAGTAATAAGAGAACTGGCCAACCCTCGTCCGTTCCAAGGATTTGCTCGATGCCCAGCACCTGGGAGACCAGGAGGCCCACCGTAACAGCGAGCTGGTTCACCGTGCCTAGGCCGCCTCTCAGGTTCAGTGGTGCTATCTCCGATATGTACATGGGAACCAACGAGGTGTTTAAGCCACAATTGACACCGATGATGAACCGTCCAAAGAATAACATTTCATACGAGTGAGCCATCTTTGTAAAACCCATCAGGCACCCCCCCACGATGCCCAGCACGTTGTTTAGCAGTAAGCCCCCCTTTCTGTCAGTGAACGAAAAGAAAAGAAAAGGAAAAATGAGTGATATAACTATCGATCTCGAATCGTCTGATTACCTGATCACAACACGTATTTAATTGCATGCACACACACGTTTGATTAATATCGATATATAAATATATTATATACGCTCTATATCGATGAATACTGTCTGGCGCGCAAGGAAGCCCTAGCCAAATTACTTGCAAATGGGATGGAAACATTTTCGTACAAACCTGCCAAATCTGTTGGCAATTATCCCTCCGCTAAAACCGCCTAGCATACCACCAATCGCAAATATGCTTACGGCCACGGAATACAATCTCTTCACATAATCGTCTGAAATGTCCTCCCCATATCTATCCTTGTACACATCTTTCATGAAATTTTCAATGTTCTGAAACGAATAAATCGTGTATTGGATAGATACAATTGCAAATTAAATTCTTTTATTTTATATTATTTAAAATGAAGAATTATTTTCGAATCATTATTTATTTAGCTAAAAATTTGTTTTGTAGTTGAAATTTTTATATAAATTTGTAAACGTATTTGTTTAAAAAAAATAAAAGAACATACCACTTCCGGCGCATTAATAACCCCAGTGTTGTATCCAAACTGCAACATTCCTAAAACTGCTGCCAGTATTGCATACGACAGGAAAAGTGTTAGCCCCTGAAATCATCGAACGTATGTTATTGAATATCGGAAAGTTTACAAAAAAAAAGTATTTCATTCAACAAAAATCGAAAACAATAATTTGTACTTGAAATAAAATAATCAATAAACGCATATTCTACTGAAAATAAAATCAAAGGCAAATTGGATTGAAATAACGATAAAGGATGAAATAAAACTACGCCATAAACAATGTCATAATGATTTATTAAAAAATACTTTTATCATTCTGCTATAAAATCATCGTGCACAAGTACAACGAGATGCATATGAAAAAACCAAACAGAACAATCGTAATAGTTAACATCACGCAAAAAACTAAATACAATTATGATGATGATGATCTTGATGATATTGATTGATGATTTGATAATTAATTTTATCATGATATTGATTTATGATGATAATTGGTACAAATAAACAGCCATCGAAAGCGATACCGAGTTTCTCTCTTTTACGAAAAATAAAATAGCACGCTGAAAAAATTAAGAACTTTTCTAATCGTGGAGATCAAGCATCACCTGCTCCAAAAGTCTAAGTTTCCGTCGATGAGAATGTTCTTCTAGTCGATCCACGTATTCTCGTAATTCCTCTATTTCTTCTTTCACCTGCTGTACCGTATCTAGTTCGTGCTGCGTAACACATTAGGAAATACTATTTAGAATGTTAAAATTTAACATTTTAACCAAAAACTTAATACCGGTAATACTATATTACTGTATTATACCGAAATCGATATATTATTAAAATAAAAATAATTACCGGCATTTCTTTCTATTTTTCATTCATTCAAAATAATTTCTCTCAAACTTTTTAACTCATCATTCCGCTTTATTAATTTACTTATTTATTCTAAATATCGATGATTTTAGAGACTATAAAATTTTATTATATGCAAGATGTAAACCGATACTTGATTAAACGCGAATTTGAATTATTTCGAAATAGAAGTTTCATTCCAAATTTCGAAATGCGGTTAACAACAAGATATCTCGAAAATTTATAATTTATAATTCTACGGTAAATAGATTAAGGTTGATACGTTAGAACGGCTTGTTATTACAATAAAACGTCAATTTTTCCGAAATTTATTTTCAAGAGAATATTGAAGATATTGACGCATATATTACCAAAACGAACGACAGATTTTTTTCTTTTTTTCAAACAGGAAGTTACCAACCTCGATTTATATTTTTACATTTTCTCTCGACACAGTCTTATCTTATCTTTGTTTTTTCATTCTTTCATGGCTAGATATATAGATAGAAAAAGTCAACCGGCAATTCGTCGCGTATGAGGTTCTAATTAGCAAGATTTCGGGCCGTGGAAGCGATTCGATAACGTTGAACGTGGAGACCGACAGTACCTTGATCGCGACCATGTCCCGTTTGACCTCGCTGACCTCGCTCTGGCAAGACTCTACGCTCTTGGTGAGTTCCTGCAGCTGCGTGCGGATCTCGCAGAGGGCGACGGTGGTCTCCAGCTGGCGGTCACCCCGCTGCAGCTCGTCCAGCTTGGCACTCAAGTTCATACTCATAACGCTGACCTGTTTCTGCAGACTGCCCACACACACATACCCTCACGTGAATCTCGCTGGCTCGCCCGGGAAAATAAATCGACATTGTCGAGCACATTGACACACTAGACACGATCAAGGCTAGCTATGCCTAGTCCCCTAAACAGAAGTCCAACTACCTCCGCGCGAAAAACTGCCGAGCCTTCAGTAGCGTACGCTTACTTGCAACCGGGATGTAATATTCGCTTATTAATTTCTTTTTTTTTTTTTTAATTTACTACTATTTACTTATGTTACATTATATTTTTTATTTATTTATTACTGTTATCGTTATATATATATATTCTTTTTTTTTTTTTCCATTATACGCGTGGAGACAATGTGATTCTGATTACGACATAGGGAAAAAAAGATATACTACTTTATACCGGGTGTATCGACGTACACCGCATGCTTTCTTCTCTCGTGCTTTAAATCTCAGCGAGCCAGCGGTAGCTCGGCAGCTAAGGAAAACGTTGGGTATACGAGTAGCGTGTAAACAGAGATATACAGACACATATATATGTATTATATACATATATCATATTCTGTCTATGTATATACGAACATAGAAATATATATATATATTATAAATTGAAAAATAGCACAACGTACAAACGCCACTAAAAGCACGTCTAAACTGTGTGTGGGTGAGTGTCAAGGTGAGAAACACTACTGTGATATATATATATTTAAATATATATATATATTTTATTTTATATATATACATATAATTGTCAGAGCTGTGCACATTAGATGGAAGTTTGTGAAAAGTGAGAGATGAAAACTATATTTCCCCGTAAGTAAGTAAGTAATTAAGTAAGTAAGTAAGTAAGTAAGTAAATAAGTAAGTAAGTTAGTGTATAAAATACGGCCCCGTGAATTTCGAATTTTTTTCCCCGCTAAAAAAAAAAAGATCATCCTTTGCTCTTTATGTTCTTTCTTTTTTTTTTTTTTTTTTTTTTTTTCCTCTTTCTTCAATCACGAATATCACGATCGTTTTCCCCATAAATATGAGACAGCTTCGGCACGCGCGAAGCGTGATTCTCTACTGACACGATGCGGGAATGTGCAAGGTGGATAGAAAATATGATTCGATGCACGATTTTTTAATTTGAACGTTGCATGTATACATGGATAAATAATATAACGAATAGATTATGATGAACGATTAGAAATCTCTCGATCGAAGGAGATTTAGCAAACTTATCGATCGATGTGCACAGCCAAGCAGAAAGGTGGTTTTTAATCAGGAACGAAATTAAAGAAGTGAAGGGGAAAAAGAAAGAGACAGATAAACAGAGAAAGAGAGAGAAAGAGAAAGAGAGAAATAAAGAGAGAAAGAAAGAGAGAGAAAAGATAGTCTGTACGTGTATGTGATTGTGTGACAAAGTGAAAAAGAGAAAGAAAATTTACGCAAGGCATGTCGAGTGACAGGTGAATAGTGAAAAATGAATGAACACATGAGCCGTAGTGGAAGGAGAGAAAGAGAGAGAGAGAATGTACGTGACCCGGATGACAAAGTGAAAACCGAAAGAAAGAAAGAGAAAGAAATATTTTTAATTCAGAGGGATCAAAAGGTACACGGAGATAATAAAAAAGAGGTTTAAAGGGAAAATAAGCGAAGAAATGAAAATATAATATAGACAGATAGAGAAAGAAAAAGAGAAAGAGAAAGAAAGAGAGAGAGAGAGAGAGAGAGAGAGCAGTGATGATGTTGCCATGTACCTGGGAGGTAGGGAGACCATGGCTGTGTTCCGAAACTACAGTAGCCTCTATGCCTCCCCACTCACTCCTCTTGATTCAGTATTTCGTCTTATTCTCACAGATCTATTTGTTCTTTGCTTTGTTCACGACATATGTACGTACGTTGGATTATCCACCAAATCCAATCAATTGACTCTGAACGATTGCACAGCTTGTTGTCAAGTGGGTCCACAACCAAAGGTGGAGGGGTAACGTGTGGCGGGGGGTTTAAAGGCCGACGACGCCCGCCCCTGCCTCTTATCTCACTCACTCTGTAAAACTTTACCTAGTTTGGAAACACAGTCGTGGTTCAGTCAAAATTATGTCATATAATGATATTATTCGCTCGAATTAGCCACGTGACGTCCAATTCATCTATCAAGGACGGGTTCGTCACGTGTGAAGACATTTCGTCTTTCTTTTTTTTTTTTTTTGTAATTTTTATTTTCCACATTTTTTTTTTTTTTTTGGTTTTTAAAATTTTTTTTTCTCACGCATCGCCATGCGACGCGCCGCCAGCTTACTCACCCCTGCCTAGTCGCCCGCGTCCACAAGCGAGCTTGCAATTTGAATTGGGCCCATCACTTTAAATGCGAAACGATCGATCGGCAAAATAATTGACAAAAATTAGCAATGATCTCATGATAGTGATAAATAACAAGGAGGCACGCACACAAATAAGTGACAAAGATGGCACATCGAGGTAACGATATATGAGTGTATCGATTAGAACGATGCCAAGGGAATATATGATTGCATCACTTGCCGCGTATGGAAAACATATAACGTGTATTATTATCTATGTTGTACACGTGATGCGATGGTTTTTATGGTTTTTCGTCTCGATGATGATCGCGAAACGAACGAATTCCGTTTCGTTTTCGCGTGAATTCTATTAACACAGTGCTTCACACAGAAGGCGAACGTGGTTGAGACAATGATCGGTGAGAAAACGGTCGTAATACCATTACAACAGTGCTTGTGTGATTCACAAACTAAAAGTAGCCGCGTTGTGCATACGCTCGCTATCCCTGTTTTCCTTTGTCCCGTTTCGATATTCTCCGTCTATCGTTTCGCAGTGCTGTTTGCGCACTTATTTGTGTACCTGACTTCCGAGAAAAGTGACATGACATCGAATGGAAATATGAGCAATCAGTGGTAAGCCTGCGAGCGCCGCAGCCAAAAAAAAAAAAGAGTTCATGTAAAACCCGTATAACAACGTATCATCGGTGTCTCGATATTACTGTTTATGACCAAGGGTGTGTAGTATGTACAAGAATAGGACTAGAGCGAGTGTGATTTATGTATAAATGATAAATGGCACGGCACAAAGCCTTGCATTGCATTCTCTGATACATAAAGAGTCTATGTAAAAATGATAAGCAGGGAAAACGTCTGTTTCTTTTACTTTTTTTTTTTTTTCCTGTTTCGTTTCTCCTTTTTTTTTCTCTACTTTTATTTATTTTTTTTTTTTTTCGTTTTTTCTCTTTCTTTTCTATTTTCTACTTTCTTTTCTATTTTTTTTTTTTTTTTTTTTTTTTCGTTTTTTCTCTCCGTAACTCAATCGTAACTCGTAGGGTGAAACGAGGCACCGCCACTTAGGCCGGGAATTACCTGGATGCGTTTAGAGAATATCGAAAAGATTGTTGGACATTGAAAAGAACAATGTCTGTGGAAAAGGTTCGTTGGATAGTAATTCTTGTCTACGAGAGAGTTTATGATCGATAAGTAAGTGCTATCGATTCGGGTACTTCAGGGCGAATAATAGAGAGCGAGAAGTGTTCTCTTAATTGGTATGCAAGTTTTAAGAGCTTATATACGTTATTCTACTGCCGTGGCACTAAGCTAAAAATTACTTCGAAAGATTTTTTATTTAAAAAAAAAAAAAAAAAAAGAAAAAGGAATGATATTTGAAAAATTGTCAAAGTTCGATCAACTACGGCCGGAAACGGCTTAGACTTAGGATTACTAAAAGTAATTCTACTACGTTTTATATATGTAATCGCTGAAGAAACGAATAGAATAGAGTAATTACATAATAATTCTATAACAAGAGCCTAAAAAAAAGATCACTACGGAATATTAATACAGGATCCTAGAAAGGCGCTAAACTAGGAAATTAGACCATAAAAATGTTTCGAGACATTCGTCGCCCGCAGGATTCGCCAAGATTCAAAAGTTCACGATCGAATTTAACAATATTAATAAACTTTCTTTCGCGAATGTTTTCCACCGAATATCCGAATATCCTCCACGTTTTTTTTTCAAATATATATGTTCAAGTTCACGCATTAAGAAGAGAGAGAGAAATATATATATATATATTTAAATATATAAATTTATATAAATCTGGCTCGAACAACGGACGAATTGAAAAGAAAACGTTTCGTGTAAACGATCGATCTTGCCCGGTACATCCAAACAATCCAGATAATTCTCAAAGACGTCGGTGGCGACGCCTATGTAACAACGTCCCCTCGGTAAATTACTTGCTATATCGTGTATACCAATTACTTTTGAAACGTAAACTGTATATCCTTTCCGTGATAGAAGAGTGTCGCTCGAGGTCCGAATTTCTCTCGATCGCGAAATTCGTACGCAACGATATTGACAGTATATTAAAATCGTGTGAACTGAGCCGCGTATTATCGGATTAATTATCAATTAATGTCCAAAACAAAAAAGACGCGTGGAGGTGTTTTTCGCAGAAAAAAGATATATAATGGTATATATATATATATATAAGAGAGAGAGAGAGAGAAAGATATATATATATATATATATATATCGTGGGGTACGTCGGGGAAACGTACCTTACAAGCAACTCCCGTAGAGTGGCTTCATCGTCCTCCTGTACCTCTTCCTGCGTCTCATTACTGAACGAGCCGCGGCTTGGGTGATGATGCTGGTGATGCCTGCCGGTCGGCCTACCGGTGCTGCCGGGTGGATACTGTCCGTGCAGCCCGTGATGATGATGGTGATAGTGACCGGTGTTGGTGGAGGCCGAGTGCAAATAGCGGGCGACGGTGCTGGTTGCACGCCCCCTGGTCAGCTTGAGGCCGGTAACAGGAGGCGGCAGTACGGCGCCTGTACCGGGCTCCACGTAACTTCTTCGTGAGGCATACTGCTCCTCCTCCACCCTGATGATGTCCTGACGTCCGCTTGATGGCCGATCGGCCGATCTGCTGCGCGATCTCGCGCTAGTTCCAACACTTTTGCTCGCTTTACGACCGGTCGTGCCGGTATGCACGCCGGAGGCGATTCTCTCGCTCCCTTTGCCCTGCCTCCACCAGCTGCTACCGCCGACCTGTGCGCCAAAATCGAGCCTCCCCCTCCCCCTCCCCCTTCCCCTTCCCCTTCCCTCCTCCTCCTCCTCCTCCTCCTCCTCCTCCTCCTCCTCCTCCTCCTCCCCGACGGCGGCACCAGCCGGCCCTGGTTCCGTATCCTGGGACCCCGAAAGGCCCGAGATCTCTTCGTAGAGGCACTCCGAATCCGGGTCCGTAGACACTGCCGCGCTCTGCCACAACTGGTTTATTGGCTTGAAGCCGCGTGAATCGGCCATCGTTTGAGCTACACGCCAGGACACAGACACAGAGAGAAGAATTTATACAACATCGACATCATCGTCCCCTTCAACGTCTTCCTCGGCTGTGTTGACTAAAGGCCACCACCCGATGCTGCGTTTCCGAGGAATACTAAGAGCAACGAGCGATAAATTTCTTTTTTGTTTTGTCGTTTCTCGTTCATTGGTTTCGTTATTTTTTTTATTTATTTATTTATTTTTTTTTTCGTGTGTGTTTGATATCTTATGATAATTCTAGATTGATTGGAGCAAGCTTCGTCTAGAGATTGCACAGCAACGGTACGTGGTGCGCCTAACGTGTTCTTATTTTTTTTTTTTTTTTTTTT